AAAAAGCCAGGGGGGCAAATGCCCCAGCTTGCCCCTCCCTGCGGGGTCGCCTATGCTATTATACCTATGTATTATGGATGCAACTGATGCAAGATGCACATTGATTTCTAAATTTGGCTATTTAGTAGATGATTTCTGGATTTTCTATTGTTCTATAGCTTAAGAGGACGTGATACCCGCATGTGTTGTCTCCGTCTTACAAATGCGTACCATGGTACATTTTCGCTTAGCAGAACACGCGTAGCTCCGTTTGCTTAAAAATTAGAGTGAATTGACCTCTTATAAAATTTAAAGGTATGATTGTTATCTAGACAATCTCATATACTTTTTATTTTATATTAAATTTAAAGCGAGTTATGAGTATTTTAAAATTGTAAATTTTTTGTGAATCTTAAAATACTCATAACTTCCTTTAACATTTAAATAAAATAAAAAGTATATGAGATTGTCTAGATAACAATCATACCTTTAAATTTTATAAGAGGTCAATTCACTCTMATTTTTAAGCAAACGGAGCTACACGTGTTCTGCTGAACGTACAATTTACTATATAATGCACTTGTAAGACCGTTGACGTAGGCTGTTAAAAATCCTACCTCTTATAGTATATGTCTCAAACTGTATGTTAAATTTGTTACCTACCTGTGATTATGCAAGCAGTATATTTTTATACATATTGATAGAAAATGACATAATGGTTAAAATATATTAAGTAATAATCTTACAACGACATTCAATTTAGTTTATCATTAAGTGATATAATTTGTTTTATCGAGAAATGTCTGACAATTCAAGTATTTAATTGAATGATATTTATTGATAAATCTTGCATCTCGTTGCTCAGTTATTTCTGAAACTAGTATTGCCATTTTCTTTCATGCTTGAAGTGTACAAATACCAATCGATCTATTTTGGGAGGTTTAGAAATGACGTTAATATAATAAAAATACAAAAAACACATATGAGAGGTAGGATTAGGCTACGAAGTACACTGTTAACAATAAATAATATAAATTCAGGAATATATGCTATAAAATATTAAATAATAATAATAATAATAAAATAAGTAACCATCACTATAATAGCAGTAAATAAACGAAAATTTCTATMGTAAATCTCAAAATGTCTATACGAGCTGTATGGTTGAGTATGTCACTTTTTAACTTAGCCTATTTTCTGCTCATAGGTTCTAATATATCTCCAAATTATACTATACCTACCAAATTTCGTCACAATCAGTCCAGCCGTTTAGGAATGCATAAAAGACGACTGACAAAAATTCATCATACCTATATATATGGTATATAAAATAAATTTACTTTATACTTAGTACTTCACAGTGTAAGTACGGTTTATGCTGAATAAAATATTAACTKTTTTTTTTAAATAATACATGAACAGCGGTGATATATTCACTGCTTACTTATATTTTAATAAAAGTTTTCAGCACATGTTATTTGTTTATTTTTATTATTGATTATAATATAATGGTTATTCATATAAATTTTCATGTATAAACGTATATTTTACAGAGATTTAAACACTAGCAATTTAGTTTACTTGAGCAGTGATCAAGCATTAGCAGATTTGGCAGAATTCATTGTTAATATAAAATCTAAATACAACATACCATCTACAGCTAAATGGGTAGCATTTGGAGGATCTTACCCTGGAACTTTAGCTGCATGGTTAAGAATGAAATACCCACATCTTATACACGCAGCTGTTTCTTCTAGTGGGCCTTTGTTAGCAAAAGTCGATTTTAAAGGTAGGTCTAAGGAAATCTTTTTCTATAAAAATGTAATAAAAAATATTTTTCAATTAAATATATAAGTAGTGATTTTTAGATATAAACATTAAACGATATATATGAAATTACGGAGTGAACCTATATTTTAGTGATGTACTTATACTTTGATGATATTCAATGTTTTTATTTAAGCTTGGAAAAAAAATAAAAAATCCATCATTAACTAAGTTTTTAAACTTTATAATAATATTATGTTTATAAAAAAAAAAATTGTTTTCAATAATTATGTCTTTTTATGTAATTATATATTAGGTATAGCATGTTATGTATACATCATATGKCTGCATACGAATAATTGCGTCCCAAAATAGGAAAATATACATAACGATATCCGAGTTGTGTCCGTGATTTTTGTATAACACATCCGAGTTGCGTCCTGGTTAATAATTGATTAATTGGTTAATAGTATACGTATTATATTTACCTTCCTCCTTTTATAGACTGAGGACTGTCATTTGTATAAATGGTGTGGTTAAAAGTTGTAATTGTATATTATTTTATAAAATTAGTAAATTTTTGAATGCCAATTTTTTTACGAACTCAAAACGTGTTTAATTTTGTTTTCAAACTCAGTCATAGTTTTTTTT